TTTGATGTGAGGGAAACTTTTCAGAGGCGGAGTTGAGTGCTTCTTTGGGTAGGGGCAAGATATTGGAGTGCGTGTTCTAATATTGAAATAAACAAATGTAAATTATATACACGGGTCTCTCGATGTTCTTAAACCCTTTGTTTGTATTTCTTTTTTTTCAGAACCATAATTTTTCGTGTTAGGAACGTCATGGCCTAGCAGTAGAGCGTTGGACTGCTAACCCGAAAGTCACGAGTTCAAATCCGGGTTTAAGTTTAGTGGAAGGTCACAGAGTCCACTCAGCAATAATGGGTACCTAACTCACGTCAGGGAAAGTAAAGGCGGCGGGGTATATTACACTACTATCCCTTCATATATGGTCGCAGATCAACTCTACTTCAGTTGCCCCATTGGTTCGAAAAGGGAACTTTTAAGTTGGCGTATTGGATAGAGTCCTACGACTCGCCAATATACGGTTCAAAAGGTACATTAAAGTAATTATGTTTCTTTGACGAAAGCGAGCTGCGCGGATAGTTTTTTTCTTCTTCTCTCTCTCTCTTTTTCTGTATATCTACCGGTGAACAGAAAGAAAAGTCCCGAGAATAAAAGTCGGTGATAATTTAAGAGAATATCTTACATTTCTAGCATTGTTTTGTGTGAAAGTCTTAGTGTTACTAAACTATTTTATTTTAAACTTTATAAAAATCGGGAACCGGCAGCAGAAAGTAATTAATTAATCAAGCTTTTATTTACCCATACATCAGCTATAAAGTTATTTGAACGTAGCGAATTTGATAGGACAAGTTAGGACAGAGTGCACGCGGTGTGCACTGACGGTCTTGTTGCCGCGTGTTCAGACGGACAGAACATGGACATGTTTAACTTGACGGACAAAACACGGACATGTTTAACTTGACGGACAAAACACGGACATGTTTAACTAGACGGACAAAATAGACATGTTTAACTTGACGGACAAAACATGGACATCTTTAACTTGACGGATAAATAGACATGTTTAACTTGACGGACAAAACACGGACATGTTTAACTTGACGGACAAAACACGGACATGTTTAACTTGACGGACAAAACACGGACATGTTTAACTTGACGGACAAAACACGGACATGTTTAACTTGACGGACAAAACACGGACATGTTTAACTTGACGGACAAAACACGGACATGTTTAACTTGACGGACAAAACACGGACATGTTTAACTTGACGGACAAAATAGACTCGTTTAACTTGACGGACAAAACACGGACATGTTTAACGGTTACGGACAAAACACGGACATATGTTACTGCAACGGACAAAATACGCACAAACTAAGTACGGCTGAGTACGGTCTTATCCTAGAGTCTTGGAATATTTTTTTGAGTTGAAGTTCGATAACAATAATGCCCAAATGATATGTCATTATTAACTTGACTTAGTTAGTTAGATTAGCAAAGGTTTCTTTAGGTCTATATTTTTTTTTTCAAATTCGAGAAATTACATTTCAATGTACTCTGTCGAAGAACCTCCAGTTTAAATAGCCGTTGAAAATGTCCTTTTAAAATGGCGGATACGTGTATGTTGCCCACGTGACCAAGGAACTGTATCTGAATTGTTCATTTGCAGAAGTGACACCTGATCCAAGCGGTAGTGAGGGGAGAGAAACAAAATGGCCGCTGACACTCGCACAATGGGGTCACTGCACGCTTGATGTGAAAGGCTTTTGCCGGGAAGTTTTTTATTTTATGTTAGCTTATACGTAGGGTTTTTTTTTTTTTTTTTTTTTTTTTTTTTTTTTTTTTAAATTGCTGTCATGCTCAGGGATCGTTTATAAAAGAATGACACGAGTGATAATGTGGTAGTAAAGAAAGATGAAGTGAATATTCGGTTTCCGAATTCGGCTGGGCAAAAAAAAAAAAAAAAAAAAAAAAAAAAAAAAAAAAAAAAAAAACAAACTTAGCAAGAAGCGGGTTGAAAATAAAATTCAAGAAATGACGTCATCGAAATGAGTGTACTGGGTGTGTGAGATGAAATGGCGTTAGATTGGAGAGTATCTTTACTTTGGACTAGTTTGAACGTAACTTAAAAAAAATACGGTGCGAGGCTATAAGGTCGAGGCAAGTTTTTAGTTAGCGTCCCATGTCCCTCTCTAGACATGGTCAACGCTATCTATTTGGATAAAGGGGGAGGGGGAGGGGGGAGGGGGAAATCACAGGTGATGAGGTCTAGGGACGGTGAGGCAGACACCAGCTGATGTAATTATAGGCTCGAAGGATAGAATGTGGGGGAAGGGGGGGTGGGGTGTTAGAAAGGTCGGGGATGAAACGACCCTGTAAAAATACAGATTATAATTGGAAGATGGAGGTAAGGATGGGGGGGGGGGGGGGAGGCGATGAAGGTACAACAAAAGAGATAATGGATTCGGAGAGATAACACCTGGTAGACAAAGTAATACTGGGGTGATGGCCCTTGGCATACGTTAGCTGGGGTGATGGTCCTTGGCATACGTTAACATGGAGGGGGTGAGTTGGTGTATTAAGCGAAAAAAAAAAGCCAAGTGACGTAAATTGGATTTTTGACCTGTCCTGTTTTCTTTGGTGTAGTTTGTGATGTTAACTTGATGGTGTCTGCGAAGTTGTATCTGATGTTAGATTAATCATGGTGTATGCGATGTATCTGATGTTAGATTAATGGTGTCTGTGATGTTAAATTGATGGTGTCTGTGATGTATCTGATGTTAAATTGATGGTATTTATAATGTTGCATCTGATGTTAAGTTGATGGTCAATTTAGCGTTGTTGGCTGAGTTCTGACTTAAAACCATGAGCTCATATAGACAACCCGGGCATCTTTCTGAAGACAACACAGGACCCTCCCCTAAGACAGCAAAGTTACTCAGTGCTATCAACATGAGAAGATTTGACTTCAACAGTCTTAACGATCCCTTAAGACATGGTTGATCCTTCTCTTCGGTTTTTTTTAAACATATTTCACGAGCTTCAAAGGTGCTAAGAAGCTCATTCGAATAAGTTCTTTGAAAAAAAAAAAACAGCAATACTTTAAAAAAAAAATTTGCCATTCTTGTTACCATTTACCTCGGTGGGCGAATTTGTCAAGCTGTGTACTAAGGGAGATAACAAAAACAATTTCATCAAAATTTCCCTTTCTTTGAACATACTTCAGGATTTAAAACTGATTTGTGGAAGGTTTGTGTAAAATCACGAACATGTTTTATTCCATAATATGGGTCACAGTGGTAGATAACTGGGTCACTTTATCACATGTTGACACATTTTACCAAACTTGACCTCAGCTGAGTGAACTGCAGGTTGTTTTTTTTTTTTTTATTTGTATTACAATGTTCAGTTCCTTCATAAAGAAACAACACCTTGCCGAATTGATCAACGTTTTATTGTAATTAGAACAAAAAAGAAAGTCATCACAACAATCATCACACAACACAATATAGACAAGACAATAGGTTCAGTTATCAAATAGTATCACAATTTCAATGTAAATCAGATGTGAAGGAAGAAGTGAATATGTGAGGGGTACAATGATTTTTAGCTACTACATCTGCATCTTCTAGTTATAATTATTCTATAGCAATTTTCTTGCTATAACTAGCTGCCTAACTGTAGCTATTAAAGCTTGTTTCTGTTGACTAAAATCTGTATACATGTATTAAAAAATAAATTGATCCTATTCTGTAGAACCGAGTCTACAGTAAAAAAAAACTATGAAAACTTTGTTTTCTAATCTATCTCCAACAGAAAATAAAAATTTACATTCTACATTAGGGTCTCAAGGATGGAATGATGGGTAATAAAAAATATTGCACAAGTAAGTTGGCACCAAAATATTGAAACCATCAACACAAACACAGCCCATTGGTACATGGGCTCTCATTGGTCAAACATTTGACTGACATGACACTGGCAGTACAGAGTGACCAGTGGCTAGTGACTACACAAGACCTCATTACTAGGAAAATTGTAGCAAGAAAAGGTTATTAGAACATGTGTCCTTTTAGCTTTTGCTTAGTTTAGCATGTCAGATCTGACTTGTCATTACATTACATTATCTCAATACATATGTCATCTCTATACAGGCAAACACATGATCCTACAACATACATGCCATCTGAAAACACATACATGTCATATGACAATAGACATAACTGTCATATGACAACAGACATGTCATGACTGTAGACATGTCATTTCACAACAGACACCATGAGACTAGTACTTATCAACTCCCACTGACCACATTCCCCAACCTGACAACTGACCCTTCAACTGACTCATGTAACTACTGACATACTAGACCACCTAACTTCCAGTCTACTCACAGTAAATGCCAGCAAAAAACTAAGTTGGTCAACAAATGGAATGATCTCAGACACAAACATTCATCTAATGTTCTGAGATACACTGGTTCATCCACCAGAGCTAGTTTACACCAGAACTGGTTTACACTGATTCCTTGAGTGATTTACAAAAGACAAAAAAAAAACAATCAACTACTCCTTTGTTCTTAGTTAAATGTTGGAGGGGATTACCTCATAATTAAGTATTACATGTCAACATGTTATGTGCCATGTTGCACATTGGCTCACACTTTAGTCTGTTTTTTTTTCAGAATGTGCTTCTATAACTTTCATCCCTCTAAGAACAATAAAAAGAAATAATTTTTTTTTCCCTACAGTACTTATGTTAAACAGTTTCTTTGCCATACATTAAGTACGACATAGAGTAGCCTTCTGTTATGTTATATTCTAAAATTGCATCCAATACATAGTTTTTGAAGCCTATGTTATCTATTTTCTAAACTCCTTCTAGAAGATTGTTTAAATCAATCAGCTGTACAACAGACATGATTGTCACTGCTGATCTTCATGTGGCGTGTGGAAGTCAACACAACAAGTGGCACAACCACAAGTGACAGATGGTGATAGATTTTTTTTTTTGGTGGGTGGAAGACATGGGCACCAGACAAAATCTCATCAAACAACACGACCGACCATCGTAAATACTTGAACAATAAATGAAATAAAACTTGTGCAGATCTTTTGAATCAGGGAATTTCAAATTGTAATCATTTCACAGCCAGAATAGATCTGTATAAAAAATTATGGGGTGTACAAATTAAAAACTAAATGTTAAAAAAAAAGGACCATTATTTACAATTGAAGGTGTAAGTTGCCACTACAAGATACCAGTCGTTGAGACTTCTGGGATCAAAGAAAACATAGCTGGTGGTCAGACCCTGAGACAGGCTAAGAAAAAAATAATTTTATAATGCAAGATCAAAGGGAAGCCACTGACATAAATAAACAATCCCGCTTGAGATAAAATATTAACCATGGGAGAGAACCCTCGTCCAACTACAAAAAAAATGTTTTTTAGCAGTTTTTTTAACTGCCAGCTATAGACTGATAGGGCATTTGTTATTTGTACTCAAATTACAATTTAAAAATAACATGAACAATGATTATGTTTGACTACTGAAAGAGTAAATAGCCATCAAATTAAATTAAGTACTACTATAGCACAATAAATTAAAAGAATAGTACAGGATTATTGCATGATTTTACAACTACAGTTTTAAACATTGTACATGAAAATAAATTTTATATAAGAAACCAGCACTAGTACAGTAACAGGTAGTTGGAGTGTCCTTGAACTTGGCCTCGTGAGTACAGATGATCCAATTAGAGAGCTGGCTATGAGTTTAGCTGCAAGTGTTGAAAATAATGTTACTGTTGTGTACTACCGTCCATTGTCGTCATCACTGTCTATCAGGGTGTTCCTAGTCTGGCTCAGGCTGGTTTCTTCAGTGTCTGATCTGGTAGTGGAGGAAAGAGAAAATATAACTGTATTGTAATATCATACACAATGTAATTTATAGCATATTACTAACATATCAATCAATGTGTAACTAATGTCACATAAACACATCAAATGATTTACAACATCACACATGGGGTGATGTGAAATATTTGAAATATGTGAATGTGGAATGAAATACTGTCAATTGTGTTTGTACTGTGATTTTTGTTAGACTGTGTGAAGTCAGAGTTCATTTCTGTTTATGTTAATGATGCCACACCTGAAACCACACCTGACAACATACAAAGGACATATGGTTTTATGACATAACATACACAGGATATTTGGTTTATGACATCACATACACAGGACATTTGGTTTATGACATCACATACACAGGACATTTGGTTTATGACATCACATACACAGGACATTTGGTTTATGACATCACATACACAGGACATTTGGTTTATGACATTACATACACAGGACATTTGGTTTATGACATTACATACACAGGACATTTGGTTTATGACAGCGCACTGGCAGGACATTTGGTTTATGACATTACACAGATAGGACATTTGGTTTATGACATCACATACACAGGACATTTGGTTTATGACATCACATACACAGGACATTTGGTTTATGACATCACATACACAGGACATTTGGTTTATGACATCACATACACAGGACATTTGGTTTATGACAGCGCACTGGCAGGACATTTGGTTTATGACATTACACAGATAGGACATTTGGTTTATGACATCACATACACAGGACATTTGGTTTATGACATCACATACACAGGACATTTGGTTTATGACATCACATACACAGGACATTTGGTTTATGACATCACATACACAGGACATTTGGTTTATGACATTACATAAACAGGACATTTGGTTTATGACATCACATACACAGGACATTTGGTTTATGACATTACATACACAAGACATTTGGTTTATGACAGCGCACTGGCAGGACATTTGGTTTATGACATTACAGATAGGACATTTGGTTTATGACATCACATACACAGGACATTTGGTTTATGACAGCGCACTGGCAGGACATTTGGTTTATGACATTACAGATAGGACATTTGGTTTATGACATCACATACACAGGACATTTGGTTTATGACATCACATACACAGGACATTTGGTTTATGACATTACATACACAGGACATTTGGTTTATGACATCACATACACAGGACATTTGGTTTATGACATCACATACACAAGACATTTGGTTTATGACATTACATACACAGGACATTCGGTTTATGACATTACATACACAGGACATTTGCTTTATGACAGCGCACTGGCAGGACATTTGGTTTATGACATCGTACTGGCAGGACATTTGGTTTATGACATTGTACTGGCAGGACATTTGGTTTGATCATCATTGCATGTGACACTGTTTGAGACATAAAGTATCTGTACTTACGAATAGTGAACTTCCTCATCTGAATCATTTAACATAGAGAGCGCAGGATTATCTTTGAAGTGGGTTTCTGTCCAAAAAAAGTATACATAAAGTTATGCATAGGGCCTATGTTTTTCATGTGTGTATTTAAAAATGACTCAGTCCAGCTACTAGTTGAATGAATGTTCAGCACTTTACAAAGAGTTATAGGCAAAGTTCTAAATATGTGATGTACTGGTGAAAAGCTTCTAGAATATAATTGGACAGATCTGCTTTAAACATACACAAGATGATATTTTTTTTAAAAGAGCAGGTTCATAATTCAATCTAATTAAATAATAATTAAATAATATCTCATTATCAAATACTAAATAAAATGTTTTCAATTACTTATTTTGATGATCAGCTATTAAAAATGGATATTCTGTTTTATTTATACCAATTTCCATTTAACATGTTTTAAAATATTTTATATGCATAGTAAAAAAACTATTAATTTTCTTTATGATTATAAAAAAAGAGCAAACAACTCTTAAAAAAATATTTGAAATTAATGGTTAATTACCCTTTAAAAAAACCCTGAAAAAGTTTTAACAACTATAAAGAGAGACTCACCAAACAGGGCATTAGGAGATGGGGAATAGACAAAAGCCATGGTGTATAAATAGAAGTTGAGCAGCCCATAGAATGAGACAAACTCAGCTGAGTTCTGGTAGTTGGTGGACAGCTCTGAGACAAAGTTGTCCTGCAGGACACCGCCCCCAAACCTCATCACTGTGATGGCTATGGTGATGGACACCACTATCACCATCAAAACTGTCATAAACTTCAGCCGCAAATCTGGAGGAGCATAAAAAAATATATTGTGTTTTAGTGTGCGCTGAAAAACACATCACCTCATATTTTATTAGGACGAATGCTCTGCTTATCAAAACTGGTTTTGAATAAGCAAAGATACCATTGATCATTTAACTATCATTTCATTATATCGCTCTCATTCATAGAATGTTATATAAATTATTGAATCATGAGGAAATATAAAAAAAAAAGATACATGACTGAATAATAATTGTGTCAATATAAAAATCCAGCACATAAGAAAAAGACCTTAATAAAATAAAACATTACCATAATTTAAGATAAAAAATGTAATTGTATGAAAATTTAAGAAACAGATTCTACAATTATCAAAATGAAAAGGGAAGAAATGAACCTCACAAAATTTGTGTACACAAATAATCTAAACATAATCACCTACCAAAATATGGCATCTGTCGCAACTCTGCATACGCCCGTATCAGCAGGTATAACAGATACAACAAATAAAATCCTCCAACAATAAAAAACACAATCTTGAAACCCTAAAAAAACACATTAAAGGAAGTCTGTTGTTAGGCTGATATGATGTTCTGATTTTGCATAATTACACACGGCAAAATGTTACAAATGTAATAAACTCTCTAGAATGATGTAAAAACATCATTTTCAAATCAAACATGGCCAATCAAATGGTACAATGTAAACAAAAACAACACTGAAACCAAATGTGATCAATTCTCTGGCCCATGTAAACCACTGACCTCAAAGTTGGTGGTGTCCAGCCTGTAGTAGTAGGTGGGGTCCTGTAGCTCGTTATACTCCTGCCAGGATGCCAGGGTGACAGCACACAGCCACACCAGGCCAACAATCACAATCTTGGGCAGGTAAAATTTAGCAAACCTTCGGTCAGTCTAAAACAACATTTAACCCAGATCAGGCAGAGGCAGAATAAAATATATTGTACAAATCATGGTGTAGAGGCCTTCAAAAAGGTAGAGATCAAATTAATTTAGATAGGCCCTATTTTAAAATTTCTTCTGTTTAAACATTTTTTTTTCAAATAGGCCCAGATTGAATTCAAAATAAATCATAGACATCCATTTTGTAACACTGTCACATACTAACTAACCATTCTTAATGAAGGGGCATAGTAGCTCCACTAATTAAAACAGATAGTTGCATCTTAAATCTCTAATTTTGAGACAAAGAGTTTCATTGATATGGGGTAATTTAAGAAAAATTACATATTTAAAACAAAATGAAAATGTTAATTTTCATGTTTTTCATTAGCATTATGGTAATGCGGAAGAGGGGAGGGTAAGGGACTGTCTTTTTATTCTGACCTCATCAGCAAGAAATAAAAGTTTGCGAGGGTAAACGCACCTGCCTGACACTGTGGTAGATACACAACCAGAAGAGGAGCAAGGCACTAAGGAATGATGCCTGGAACCAGCCGTCCAGCATCCCAGGCAGCCAGCTGTTCACCAGGAATGTCAGGGGGAAAATTGGGTCTGAAAACATGGCAGGGAAAATTGGGTCTGAAAACATGGCAGGGAAAATTGGGTCTGAAAACATGGCAGGGAAAATTGGGTCTGAAAACATGGCAGGGAAAATTGGGTCTGAAAACATGGCAGGGAAAATTGGGTCTGAAAACATGGCAGGGAAAATTGGGTCTGAAAACATGGCAGGGAAAATTGGGTCTGAAAACATGGCAGGGAAAATTGGGTCTGAAAACATGGCAGGGAAAATTGGGTCTGAAAACATGGCAGGGAAAATTGGGTCTGAAAACATGGCAGGGAAAATTGGGTCTGAAAACATGGCAGGGAAAATTGGGTCTGAAAACATGGCAGGGAAAATTGGGTCTGAAAACATGGCAGGGAAAATTGGGTCTGAAAACATGGCAGGGAAAATTGGGTCTGAAAACATGGCAGGGAAAATTGGGTCTGAAAACATGGCAGGGAAAATTGGGTCTGAAAACATGGCAGGGAAAATTGGGTCTGAAAACATGGCAGGGAAAATTGGGTCTGAAAACATGGCAGGGAAAATTGGGTCTGAAAACATGGCAGGGAAAATTGGGTCTGAAAACATGGCAGGGAAAATTGGGTCTGAAAACATGGCAGGGAAAATTGGGTCTGAAAACATGGCAGGGAAAATTGGGTCTGAAAACATGGCAGGGAAAATTGGGTCTGAAAACATGGCAGGGAAAATTGGGTCTGAAAACATGGCAGGGAAAATTGGGTCTGAAAACATGGCAGGGAAAATTGGGTCTGAAAACATGGCAGGGAAAATTGGGTCTGAAAACATGGCAGGGAAAATTGGGTCTGAAAACATGGCAGGGAAAATTGGGTCTGAAAACATGGCAGGGAAAATTGGGTCTGAAAACATGGCAGGGAAAATTGGGTCTGAAAACATGGCAGGGAAAATTGGGTCTGAAAACATGGCAGGGAAAATTGGGTCTGAAAACATGGCAGGGAAAATTGGGTCTGAAAACATGGCAGGGAAAATTGGGTCTGAAAACATGGCAGGGAAAATTGGGTCTGAAAACATGGCAGGGAAAATTGGGTCTGAAAACATGGCAGGGAAAATTGGGTCTGAAAACATGGCAGGGAAAATTGGGTCTGAAAACATGGCAGGGAAAATTGGGTCTGAAAACATGGCAGGGAAAATTGGGTCTGAAAACATGGCAGGGAAAATACATAAACATGTGGAAACAAAATCAATGCTAATTAAGGCTTGTAAACATTTCATGGTAGATTAAGGATATAGTTAAATTTTTACATAAAATTCATGTTAGAATAAAATAAGAAGTAAAAATAGAGCATAAATAAAATATAAAATAAAATAAGTTTCTGAAAAAAGAAATCAAAATCTTGCTCTCATAAACAATAAACAAACTAAAAGGTGAAAAATGAGGATGAAGAGGGATCATATAAAATGAAGGAAAGATAGGGTTTGAAAAAGTGAGGAATTAAAAATCTTCTAGAAATGATCTATTACTGTAATTAAGGAAAAGAGACTACTTGAGTGTACTTAAAACTAGACAGTTCAACAATTTCCTATGGTAATCTTGACTCACCATTATATAGTAAAAGCAGGGGAAGTAATAATGACATCCACTTTTGTTCTATAGACCAATCACGTATTGAAAACTTTCTTAAACTGTGGGCATACCAGCACTGGGGATAAGAAACGTTAAAACATAATGAAATTGTGAGCCAGAAAATAAATAATAAAGAGAATAAATACACTAATGATATAATCTGGACTAAACAGATGATCAACTTAGAGTGATAATTGACTTTAAAAGAAATTTCATTAATATGGACTAAACATGTTTTAAATCTTGCTTGTATAAACATCCAAAATGTCTAACACAAATGTTGCTACTTACAGTAGTTAAACCTAAGAAAATGATGACTTACTGTAGTAAAAAATGTCAGCACCAAAAAGACAAATCTAATCCAAATCTCTATTTGAGTGAATGATGGGTTGTAGGTTTTAAACTAGAGGGAAACAAAACAGGCTCGTTAGGTGGGATATGACATAGAAGGAAGAGCTAACAAACATATCAGTCAAATGTAAGTTTAATCACAATTTATCTTAAAAATAGATTCCAAATGTAACTTACATAACAGACAAATTACTAGACCACATACATTTAATACAGCACATCTCTTATTGAAGATTCTTTAAGGTGTATGAAAGATAGCACAGAGGAGAGCCAGTGAGTTCCAAATATGTTATGGAAAGGATATTTACTTTTATAAAGAGCTTAGCTATTAATTAAAGCTATAATATTATAACAATTTTATTTCATTTATAAAACTCACAATCAATTAACAACAACATGCAAGAACAGTAGAAAAATTGCTTGAATTAACCCATTAATGAATATAAAATCAATAGAATGTTACAGTCTAAATGAAAACATGTAGGTTGTTGGTTTGTTTATGTAAATGTAGATAACATTTCATCTAAATGATTGTTGCCAAAAAGCATATTTTTCAACCGAAATTGAATATTTTATAAAATTTGTAAAGTAAGTACAAAATGACTTCTGGTTCTATTAAGGTTAGAATTATTCAAACAAATAACTACTAGCAATATAATAGTAATTTAGATAATACTTTTATTTTTAATTTGGATTGATAAAGTCAGGGTGTTGTGGTGAAAGGGGATGTGATATTATTTAATATAAATAAACTACTAGGCTATACCCCATTGAACGCTATTGTGTATTTTATCATGGAAAACAACTGTTGTGATTTTCATTGTTTTACTTCCTCCTGTGGGCTACAAGGTGGGGTTGAGGGTGGTTTTTTTTTAAAGATTTAAATTGATAAAATAATTCAAAACGGCTTTTCAACGGCTGATACTCAATACAAAAATGAATGTAATCAATGGTTCCCAAACAGTTTTAATTTTTACAAATGTAACTATAATGTTATCGCCTGCTATATTTAAAAAAAAAATTAGTATGTCTACATAGATTCTGAAGCCTATTGACAAAACAGCTAACCAGTTGAAGTATATTATTCTCTCCCAAAAATAAGCCACTGATATTCTGCAATATTTTCTACTGACGAATCAACTAAAACTAAACTATCGGATCCAATAAGTTGAGAAGATAACATTTGAAACTTGATGTGCGATTTTCATGTATACAGATAACAGTCTCACACATTTCTTTCCTTGCTCCCACACTGAGTAAAACTTAAGTAAAAATGTAACTTACTGTAAACCTGACACTTTTGATGGACAACTTATTGATGTCCAAATCATAAAACACAACAGTAATGTAGTAATATGCAAAATCCAGGTACCCAAGGTGCATTACTATAAGGCTGTCACAGGCAGTCTGAAAGTATAAAATGTTACTTGTAACAGTAAGTCTATACAGGCAGTCTGAAAGTATAAAAAGTTTCTTGTAATACTTAAATATTTTTTTATACAATATTTTGGCTAGTACAGACATGAGAAGCACCAAAACCTACAGAACAAACCAACCCAAACATTTGTACAAATATGGGAAACAAAGTCCTAGAGGACAAAACCAATCAAAACATGGAGGGCACAAAGTCCTAGAGGACAAAACCAATCAAAACATGGGGAGCACAAAGTCCTAGAGGACAAACCAACCCCACTACACTTGAGCTTGCGAGTCCTATTGTGCATCTCTGAACTGAGGCTTGGGTTGGTGACAGATTCCTCAATGCTCTGGGCATCCCCATTGGCCCCACGGATCAGAATCCCCATGTTCAAATCCTGCTCAAACTTGGACCCTACAGAAATACAAGTCAATGGATAAACTGGTTCACACAGTCAGCAACAATTTTCATCATCATTGTAAGGTAATCAGGGTAAAATAGCTTCAGTATCTTTAACAATAAATACTTTGATTTAAACCAGTTGAAAACAATTTGAGAGGTCATGCAAAAAGACATTTTTTAAAACACATTCATACAAGTTTTTACATCCATTTTGATCCCAAATTTAGTTTTGTGAAATGGGCTTTAAAAACTAACATTTTTCTTTTTATTCAGCAAAATGACTCTACTTTGAAAATAAAAACAAGTAAAATAGTCTTCTACTATGTTGTTGAAATTCAACAGTTTTTCTATTTTTGCCTTCTGTTTTAATTTCATTTAGGGGTAGACCAGAGACAGTGACTATAACTATGTTATGCCCCCTTATTTGGCCCCAAGTAGATGTATTACTAAAAAAAAACTAGTACTGTGAAGGGTTAAACACTACAGCTTAGAGGGCTGTGAAGGGTTAAAAACTACAGCCTAGTGAAGGATTAAATACTACAGTCTAGTGAAGGATTAAATACTACAGTCTAGTGGACTGCTAGAGAAATGTTTTCTTAAAAACTACAGCTTAGAGGGCTGTGAAGGGTTAAAACTTCGGCCTAAGGAAGCATTAAATACTACAGCCTAGTGAAGGATTAAATACTACAGCCTAGTGAAGGATTAAATACTACAGCCTAGTGAAGGATTAAATACTACAGCCTAGTGAAGGATTAAATACTACAGCCTAGTGAAGGATTAAATACTACAGCCTAGTGAAGGATTAAATACTACAGCCTAGTGGACTGCTAGAGAAATGTTTTTAAACACTGCAGCTGTGTGTAAGAATGCACTACCATGTAGGTCACATGACTTACCTATCCCCTCGGAGATGGCAACATCTGCTATCAGCCACAGCTGCTGGTGGAAGGTTGACATGGGAGGGGAGTGCAGGATGAATGGACCAGTCTGAAACATCAATACAAGCTTGTGATGTACGACTATCAATGTCAATCAAACAACGGGTTTAAAAATTGTTTAAATTCTGCTGCATAAAGTTGATAAAGGCAACATCACAGTAACACTATAACTCTTAGACCAGTTAGGCATGCATTATAACTGTTTTTATTCAACATGAAAACTGTTAGACATCTGTTATATATGTTAGAGTAAATTATATATATACCTAACTTACTAATGAATAAGTGATGTAACAAAGAGTTTAAATCACTGTTAAAAGTTTGATTTTTTTCCTAATTGATTACATAACTGGAATAGCAGGTTCAAGCAATTCTCTAAGCTAGGCCTCCATTTTGCCAGCCACTATAACCCACATTGAACAAATGTATCTGAGATTGGGTAGTTAGGTTATTGGATGACCTATGACCTAAAGGCACTAGATAGCTGAAAAAGACTGGCTAGTATGTTTGTAATGAATGAAATAACAACCTGCTTGTTCTGTGGCTCTTTGATGGCTGAACTTCCATTCACTGTTGTAGAGTCTATAATGTGAGGACCTGCCAGAATAAACTCAATGCATTAGCTGAAGAGCTGACAAGTTCTAACAGAATAAACTCATTTCATTTATAGTAGAACTAACATGCTGTAACTGCAATTCCAAAATCAACACTAATTAAAATATCCTCAATATTTACCTGCAATTCTTACACAAATAAAAAGAATTGATCAACGTTTACTATCAACCCTGGTTTAAGTCTACAAAAAAAATTGTCAATATTTACCTGCAATCCCCACAAGAACACTGATCAAAAAGCAGACAAAAAATGTGACAAACACCAGGACAAACTGCCTCTTGTTCAGGGAATATAACCGCATCTGTACAGATCTGAGAGATACAAGAGACAATACTAAGGTTACATCACATCACAAACATTTCATGCTATACACTTTCAGTCATGTGTCTCTAGACTTTTTTAACATTTCATGCTATACACTTTCAGTCATGTGTCTCTAGCCTTTTGTAACATTTCATGCTACACACTTTTGGGCACGTATCTCTTGTCTTAACTTCCTTATAAAGTTAAATGCTGTTAATGTTAAAACCTTTAACGGAAAGTGTTATTACAAAGACAGACCGATAAAATGGAATATTAGTGAATTATTTGTTCTAACTGGATAGAACAATTAAGGAAACAAAGAGCATAATCACAGATAACTACTATTGATTCAGAAGAAAATAGTAAATTTACGTTCATACTGGATTGTCAATCGGAACTGTACAGACTATACTGACAATAGATAATAAAATCCAAGCCATAAAATTGAGAGGAGACAGTAAGTTGAGTAAGTTACCAGGAATTACATACTAACAAAGACTGGGAGGTCAGCATGGCCGGGTCAGTTAAGCTCATGGTTGCTGAACCGAAAAGTTCCAAGTTCAAACCCACAGAGAGTGGAAGCTTGATAGCTGGGGACAGTCACTCATCTAGGAATCAAAACTTAACAAGTTGACACATAATACTTAATGGAGGGAATCTCTTCCAACACTAGAATTAAGAATGCAGAAGAAGAAAAAACATTTCAACCACAAAGACCAATGATGCAATGTCATTATCCAAGGGTTAATTGGTCATCAAGATGACCAGCTGACTATTGCTAAAAAAAAAAGAAAGCTCAAACGGTACAGATATGCCAGGAATATTTGGTTAGAACTAGTGAAAACTTTCCCACAAGAAATTATCAGGCAAAATAAAAACTGTGGGAAGACAACATCAGAAATTGAATAGTCTAATTAGAAGAAACACTAAAGATAGTTGAGGGCAGAAATAGCACAGGAAGCTGATCAACAAGATATCAAAAAGGCTCACATTCTGATATACTCAGACTACTAGACAAATAAAATAGATCTAGATAGAATAATGAATAAATTAAATTTATAACAACTAAATTTTATGTAATTATTTCTTTTAATTAATTTCAAATTACGACATTATAGTTACTTAATACAAGAACTGTAGCCACTCTCTCTCTCAAAATGGTCAATACTGGCTCTAGCTATTGCTCGTAAGCCAGACAGACCGGACTGAAGAGGGTTAAGAACCAAGCATTTCTCTCACCCATATTACGAGGGATTCCGCCAGGCTTTTGTTTTCTACTCCAGTGCATAGTACCACCTGGCTTGGACATGAGGGGCAGTTTGGTCAGGGGCCACCTACGATCTCAAGCTCAGTACCCTAAGTCGTGACCTTCCGGTAAGTGCTGTCCCTACCCTAACGTAGGGAGTGTGACGTATGGTGTGACTGTAGTCTGTCAGCACTAAACACTAGTGTTGTGAATTGACTTAAGTGTATGGAGTGTGTTTGAGGGTATGTGTGTAGTTGAATGGAGTTAATAAAGTCGTCGATGGTTTGAGAGTATGTGTGTAGTTGAATGGAGTTAATAAAGTTGTGGATGGTTTGAGAGTATGTGTGTAGCGGTATTAATAAAAGATTATGAATGCGTGAATAAATAAGGATGTGACGTAGGAGAGAATGTTTTGGTTGTTATGAGGATAGTTAGAAGTTAGTCTTGGTCTTGTCGTCGTCTTGTGAGGATGTCTAGAAGTCATCGTCCCATCTATCGTCTATGTAGCTGTTGGTATTATATGTAATAAAAGATGGAAACATCGTAGCTTCATACTGTGTTCTTCATTGGATTGTCGTCATCTATTGTTCGTAACGTTCAGCATCGACCCGTACCGAAACTCACTTCGCAACAACTAGCAGTTGTACAATTTTTATAAAGTGTGAATCAAACATTCACATTGTAACATTAAAAAATTTACAAATGTCAAATGATCATGATAATCTGAACCAAAGAATTAGTAAAATCTGATTGTAGCTAGAGTAATCATTCTAGAGTCTTCAGCTCAGTCGAACGCTATACTGATACTCTATAGGCCTTACTTAATAAATTAAATAAAAACTAAGATTTTTAAATTAGGTCTAGACTAGATCTAGATATCTTATAAATTATAAATTAGATCGGATCTAATCCAGATCTAGATTTATTACATTTTTGGGGTGTTGGGAAATTGCAAGACGCGAAAAGCGAAATGGCGAGGCGGGAACATGCAAGAAGATAATGCTAGACATACCTGCGGAATCAAGGGTAAATAGCAAGACACCTTTTGCGAAAAAAGTTTTTTTCAAACTTTTTTCATCTTTATTTATTTTAATTATTTTTTTTTGTTTTAAAATAATTAAGCATGTAGCCATACCCTTTAACACAAGTGTTGTATGTTGTTATTTTTTATCTAGATTTCATCATATATATATAGATAGATAGATAGATACTAAGAAGATAGATAGATCTAGATATAGATCTATCTATTAAAAAATCCCAACATCGTTGCTGTGCTACTGTCATCGCCTGCTCTCGTAAATGAGAGGAAAATCCCGTCTCAGTCGGCATTAATTTTAAAAATCTAGCCCGCTTATGTTTATACAAACGTGAGCTGTGTCTTTGTGAACTGGTATAATCTTGTCAGCAGGAGAGATATTCTGCAACATGTATCCATGGATTGTTGCACTTGCAAAAAGTGTAAAAGTATAAACAGTTCTAAAAAGTGTAATTTATTTTTTATTTAGTAATTTTAATTACAAACAAAATCTTCTGAAACAGTCCTAGCACTACTCAAACACACCTTGTGACACCATCTTTCACACATAATACATCTAATCCAGTTCAATAGACTCCCATTTATACATTTTTCTTTGGCTACTTCTTCCAATCCACATTCACAACATGTCACAGTTGACCTCCCCGTTCATCCCACACACAACACTGGCGGCGGCTATAATACAAAATTTCTATGCAACAATTCAAAATATGTTTGCGGCAGCAGCAGATTCGGGCACAGTGATCTTCAAACATGGTAAATCAGGCGGCCTCGACGTTCAACACAAAAGAAAGAAGTTGATCTATCTTCAGCTGTATTTTGGGCGGTTTCATACAAGGTGGTATTCTAAGTCAACACAAAAGATGGGGGGAGTTCATAAATCATCAGTATGTCTAGCGACGGAAAAATCTGAAGTGTTAACAATGTAAACGAAACGACTTTGAAATCTGCACAAAAAACACTGTAAATCGGGTGCGGTAAATTTTTCGCTGAAATCTTCGTAATTTAACACCATCCAGCGTAAGTATCAGGTTGTGGTAATATACGAGACAAAAAGTCACGTGACCGACCGTTTTCGCGCCCTTCTCGCCATTTCGCGTCTCGCAATTTGCAATTTCTTAACACCCAAAATTTTGTTTAAATTAAAATTCTTAACTTCAAAGTTAAAATAAAAATAAAATAATCATGAATAAGCAGAGTCTCTACACTCTACACTCTAGATCTATATTTCTTCTAGATCTAGATCTACTCTCACTCTGTGACTGTCATTTCTGTGTCTTACTTAAATAGGCCTAGATCTACATATTTTAATATTTTAGTCTACACAATTTAAATCAATTTTTATTTTTTATTTTAAAAAAATTTACAATCTTAAACTTAAAAAAAAAATAAAAGATAAATCTGATTAAATCTTCTTCTTACGCTTCTATTTCATGAGGCATTCTTTTCACGATTCACATACGCTTAGATACTTTTATTATGTTTCTACTAACATAAACTAGATCTTGATCTAGTTCTATATACTAGGCCTAAAGTAAAAACTGGTGAGTAAAGCATTTTCACTTTCTATTCTGCTAGGATAGCCATGTTAATGTTATATTTGTTGACACTACAACACTTCCGGCTGTAAAATTCCAAAAGTGAATATTTTAAAAATAGATCTACTTAGAGGTGAAACGAAATATTATAACGTGATTTCTGGTAAAACTAGTGTATAGGACAGGGGTCGGCAACCTGCGGCTCGCGAGCCGCATGCGGCTCTTTTGGTGTCCAGTTGCGGCTCTTCAGCTCCATGCACAAATATTAATAATTATTTTATTTTCAAAATTCATAAAAATATTAGTCTGCAGCGCTCGGTAATAAACGATATAACATAAGATATAAACAATAAACATTCACTATTATATTAGAATATTTAGTCCCTATCTAAATGTACTTCCTATTACATTGTCCATTCCGAATAGAAACATTCAACTTCATAGTGGATATCACAAAGAAACTAAACCAGCTAAGTGTAAAACTGAAAGGAAAACCCAGCCTATGTCTTGCTTGAAGAAGTTTGTTTCGAAAAAAAAAAGTACTTTTCTTGTTGAATACTTGGTGAGCGGTAAATTACTTAATTACAAAAAAAAATCTGAAAAAAAAATATCGTTATAAAGCGAATGCTACTATTCAATCACTTCAGCATTAATATAAACGAAATGAAGGATGTTTTCACTGAGAGATTTGAGCTATACAAAACAAATGCAAGTAGTCTGACTTACATAGTAGATCCTCTCAACACAAATTCAAATGAGATTATATATATATATATATATATATACAATCCTAAACAAATATACTATTGACATAAAACTGTTAGTGGCTCTTTAAAAACCGGGTAATGTTGTAAATTGTTACTTTTGGCTCTTTCGGCTCAAAGGGTTGCCGACCCCTGGTATAGGACCATCTTTCACATAAATAAAAATGTCACACCCATATCAGAACGTAAAGTAAACAAATTAAATTAACACAATTCAACAAAATATAGCGCAAACTGATATCAGAGTGATACACCACCAGAGTTTCTTCCAGGCGTCTCTTCGCCCCCCCCCCCCCCCGAACGAAATGGAATTTATATAGAAAATATATACTTTTAACAGTGTCGCCTCCCCCCCCCCCCCCGGATAAAAAATTCTGGAACAAACATTGGCTATATAGACCCACGTGACATATTCTTTTGTACCTAAGCCAAGGCTGAAAAATATTAAAACAATCTCTGTACCAGAAAACAAGTATTATTTTAAGTCTTTTTCTTTATTCCCCAAGTGCTTGATTAATACTAGCGAATTAAGAAAAAGACTCCCATTAATTCCGGGCCGGTACAGCCCATGGTTGCTTAACCCAAAAATCCAGAGTTCGAACCCCCGGACAGATGATGAGATTCGATAGCTGGGGAAAGCAACCTATCTAGGAGAGACAACTCCAGAATCAAACAACTGCTGCCTTGTAATTTAATCTTGGTTGGACAAAGGCTAAAGAAGCAAAGACAGACTGAAATCGGAGTCAACGGGACATATGCCTTATGTTTTGAAGGAATCCCTTCCAGCATTAGTTAAGAACGAAGAAGAAGGTAACTGCCAACAGAACTCACCTCTCACATCGGTCATGATGGTAGGATGGCGCGATGTACTTGGAAAAAGCGCTGAAAGAGTCCGAAAATTGGGACATGAAAGAACGGGCTTTGTTCCTAAAGCTTGGGCCAGCAAAGGCAAATGAGTAGTTGTCCATTTCTGTGTGAAATAAAGGTATGGGTCAGTTATTTGTCCATTTCTGTGTGAGGAATAAAAGTATGGGTCAGTTATTTGTCCATTTCTGTGTGAGGAATAAAGGTATGGGTCATTTATTTGTCCATTTCTGTGTGAACAGAAAGTATGGGTCAGCTATTTGTCCATTTCTGTGTGAAATAAAGGAATGGGCCAGTTATTTGTCCATTTCTGTATTGTGATTCACGTTTTTAAACTTGTATGGTCAGCTCATGGTTGGATTGTGATTGTTAAATATTACTTTGTAGGCCTTTTAAATGTTGACATGGTTTTTTTTTTAAATTATTATTTGAAAGCAAACACTAACAAGGCCAATAAAGCAGAGGTTATAAAAATGTGATTGATTGTGTACTATTATCGATTATGAACAGCACGATAAACTGTATACATTGATCAGAAAACTATGCGTTGCTTAGTTCTAAAATCATGAATCACAAACCTGAAAAAACAAATAGGTAATAGTATTTTTTACCGTGTAGGAGTATGGTAAGAGAAAATACGCAGATAAATAAGCAAGATCAATTACAAAGAATTCTGTCTTTTTGTTGAATCGATGCACTCATTGTGGGACGATAGGGGGGGGGGGGGGGCGAGGAAACATCAGAACTATTTGAAAGTAGTGCTTTGATGACTAAACTACCATTCACTTTGTAGCGTTTACGCTGTAATAATTTGCCAGAAGTTGACCAGTTATCTCGCTGTAAATAAACATTGACTAAAAATTGGTCTATGGAGATTAACCCACGACTTGCGTTATATTACCACAATTCTTCACTCACGATTACACAAATCACAGACGCATAACAACCAACATCGGTAGGAGCAGTGTTGAGAAAACGATTAGTGCGCATGCCCATAACGCAGTATCCCGCAAAGACGTTCAAGTTATCTACAAATTACAGGGTTACATTATATTTCTATCTCACATCGCAGTAAGCTGTATCGTGTGTACGTTTTGATACTTACGCTGTGTTCGTTTCTGTCACAGTAGCACGGTGTGTAGTAGGCCTGTACACATCAGAGTGTGTAGCTGTGCTTCGTCGCGTCTGTGGCCGCGGCCATATTGGGGAGCACAGTGACGGGACGGGTCGATAAACTCCTCTAGAACCGCAGTCTGGCACGTATCGATTAGGGACATTAATCGATAGATTACGTCATTGTTATTTTTGAAATGGCGCATGGCTACAGAATGGAGTTTGTGGGATAGGTGGTTTTAATGACGTTTGTTGGATACATCTTTTCGTTGTGTGTTGTACAAGTGGTTTTAATGATGTTGGTTGGATACATCTTTTCGTTGTGTGTTGTATAAGTAGTTTTAATGATGTTTGTTGGATACATCTTTTCGTTGTGTGTTGTACAAGTGGTTTTAATGATGTTTGTTGGATACATTTTTTCGTTGTGTGTTGTACAAGGGTTTTAATGATGTTTGTTGGATACATCTTTTCGTTGTGTTGTATATAAGTAGTTTTAATGATGTTTGTTGGATACATGTTTTTTGTGCGTGTTATATAAGTTGTTTTAGTAATATTTGAGGATTGTTTGATATATGTTTTCGTTGTGTGTCGAATAAGCGAATTTAGTTACGTTTGATGGATAAGTGTTATTTCTTTTTGTTGGATATCCGTTTTAGGGTTTGACGGATTCGTCTTTTTTATGATGTTTGTTGGATACGTGACTTGGTTTAGATCATGCACGGAACATACCGCATCGCTATACACCGCATGCAGAACAACTACAGTGCAAAAACACAGTATCCATTAAAAGCTGCTAAACGCTCAATGACATTTTTTTTTTAAATGTTCAACGTATTTAAGAATTCTTGAAACGGCCACCCCTACAAAGGCACACAACTTTACATGAAGCAACTTTTGAATGCGTAACTTATGGTACGGATGTTCATCTTCTGATTATTTTCATGTTGGACTTGAATCTAAACTGTATCAGAACGGAAAAACAATGAATTTTGAAGGACAAGCTTTCAAGGCTCTAAATCTAAAAGCTCATCAGTTCATAGATAGGTCCACATGTACAGTGAAGCAGTGGCGTAGCGAGGTCGGGTGTCACCCGGTGCGGCACTTAATGGTGTCACCCCCCCCAGAGGCATAGAGACCCTTCCCAGGGACAAAATTCCAAATTTTCGATTTGCACCCCCCCCCCCCTCAAACTTTCGATTTGCACCCCCCCCCTCGAGTTTTTCTCTATATATTTTGCTGTTTTTTGCCTTGGTGTCACCCCCCTAAATGGTGTCACCCGGTGCGGTAAGCACCCCCCGCCCCCCCTCGCTACGCCCCTGCAGTGAAGGATGGTTTATGGGGGAGGTCTGAGAGCCACTTGCTATGCTCGCACTTACGCACGCACGCACGCACGCGCGCACACACACACACACCACACCATACCACACACACACGATGTTGCCAATAGCTGTAACAAAGTTAAGTAGCTGTCTTTTTAGTGGAGGTCTGAGAGGAACTTACCAAACACACACACACACACAAACATATATATATATTTACACATACACACGTATGTATATATCTTGCCAATAGTTTTAACAAAGTGATATATGTGTCTTTATTCTGAACCTGAATCGCATATATAAACGTACAAGTATGGTGTTCATCTCAGGCCCCTAGAGTTGCCGAGTTGTTCTTCGCATTCATTTGATTGCAGAGGCGTAGCGAGGGGGGGGGGGGGGGCGGGGGGACGCCAAATTGAAAGTTTGAGGGGGGGGGGTGCAAATGAAAAGATCGAGGGGGGGGGTGCAAATCGAAAGTTTGTCCCCTTGCGCCGGGAAGGGTCTCTACGCCTCTGTTTGATTGTCTCCTAGAATTGTCTCAAGCGCCAATGCTTATTTCTAAGATTTCAGTAAGAACTTTAGTAGGTCTTCTGACTACCAGTCTTACCGCAAAATATTCCATAGGAACTCGTTGAAAATTGTTTTTATGTCCACATTGTCAATGGTTTATTTTTTAGGTTGAACTACATCAAAATTCGATTACCTCCCATGTATTAAAATAAAAAGAAAATGCGAACGAAGATATAAATATATATTAAAACTTTATAAAAATTAACATAATAATCAATTTGTTAATGAGTACAAACTAATTATATAATATAATTATGTAAACATTTCAATCAAATTAAACCTAAATATTTATACACTAAGTACAACTGTTCATATATATTAATGTTTTCAGAATCTAAACACTTGAACTTTATTTTATCATTTAGTTAAATATCTAATTACCTTTAAATTACAATTTGTTATTAATAGTTCATTAGCTTGAGCGACTAACAATTTCCTACAGCTTACAAAAAATCTAAAAAAAAAAAAAAATAAAATAAAAAAAAAAAAAAAAATAAAAAAAAAAAAAAAAAAAAAAAAAAAAAAAAAAAAAAAAGCTTACAAAAAATCTTCAACGATGGATCTAGCTAACCTAACCGAGTACAGACTCGATATTATTCGAGAGGCCCTTTAATAATTAATATAATTGAAATTAATAAGTTTATAAAATCCTAACTGGTTTTTTTTTCGGACTTAATTGGTTGTATTTGACATTTTAGTATTTTCGGTAATTAAACACAATTTTTAAAAAGCTATTTGGTTTCCACGTGGTAATGGCGACATTAACGTAGACGTCCTGCAATTCGATTGGCTAGCATACATTTATTATACAAAATGTAAACAAAAATGGCAGAACTAGGTCATGTGGTTTAAAATGGCATTATGTTATTTAAAAAAAAAATTATTAAAAAAAAAATTGTAAAAAAATAACTATCGATCATGGACTTTCTGAACAGCCGATCAATGTCTTACGAAAGTAAAACATCGGGTTATAATTTAGGTAATATTAAATTTCTGAATTTTTTTAAGGCTTCTATGAAGTCGAAATATAAAAAAAAAAATAACGAATTGTCAACAATATGATGGAAGGATTGTCGTCAATCTACTGGTGTTCATTTAGCAAAGTTATATCTAAATAGGTCTATGCATTATGGATCTGCGCAAATATCCACTTCTAACCATAATTTTATTCAGGCACCCTAGAGCTCCCAAATTACCATTACTACAACCAGTGGCGTAGCGAGGTCGGGTGTCACCCGGTGCGGCACTTAATAGTGTCGCCCCCAGAGGCGTAGCGACCCTTCCCGGGGACAAACTTTCAAATTTTCGATGTGCACACCCCCCCCCCCCCTCAAACTTTCGATATGCAACCCACCCCCTCAAACTTTCGATTTGCACCCCCCCCCTTCAAACTTTCGATTTGCACCCCCCCCCCCAAGTTTTTCTCTATATATTTTACTATTTTTTGCCTTGGTGCTACCCCCCTAAATGGTGTCACCCGGTGCAGTCCGCACCCCCTGTCCCCCCCCACCCCCCTCGCTATGCCTCTGACTACAACCACTACCCTAACCTGTGTTACAGCTATGAACTATGATCGCTGTGGTACTGCAGCCACACATTCCTCGGATTCTCTAGGTGAGGGGTTCCTTAAATGGGCAATATCTCTGTAGAAGTGGTGTTGGGGGGGGGGGGGGACATAGAAACTTCGGGTGGAATGGGAGGGGGGGGGGTGAGAAAATGCTCGTCCTAGCGCGACAAATTAGGGTACACAAGCTTGTGTTAAAATTATTTTATTCTTTTTACATTCTTATAAGAACTGGATCGCATACGACGAATTGAAAGAAAAAGAATGATCGTAATTCTGTTTTATTTAATATCTATATTTCGTGAATGCAGAATGGACACATTTTTATAACAGTTATAAGTCAAACAAAATAGAAAGTTCGAATACTAAATTGTCTGCTGTATTTAATATTCTTCTCGCACTGAGGCTGTGCTCGTTTCGGTCACAGTAGCACAAAATATTTTTTGTTATTGTTTTTAGATGCAAATTAAATATAGAGCCCCGAAGAGATGCCTGAAAAAAAACTCTGATTGTCTGTTGTTTTGTGTTTTGCCACAGGTCTTTATTAGATCTTTGGTCTGGCAATCTTATTTTGAGGATCTGTCGTAAACATCAGTTTGTGGGCAAGGATCTATCGTAAACATCTGTTTGTGAGTAAGGATCTGTCGTAAATATCTGTGAGCAAAGATGTGTTGTAAAACATCTGTTTGTGAACGACTGTCTGTCAAAAGAAGTAAAAGGCATACAATTATCTTAGGAATAATTTATGAACATCGCGCTTTTTGTAACCATTAATACCTCCCCCAGTCTCCATCATCAAGCACCGTCACAAACAGTGGCGTAGGCAGGGGGGGGGGGGGTTAGGGGGGGTCCTAACCCCCCCCCCCCCCATAGACCCCTCGGTATATATAAAAAGTATGAGGGGGGGGGGGTGCAAATCGAAAGTTTGAGGTGGGGGGGGTGCAAATCGAAAGTTTGTCCCCGGGTAAAAATTGGAACCCCCCCCCCCCTTGAGACGATCCTGGCTACGCCACTGGTCACAAATACCCAGACTACCCCTCCCTACTAAATTGACATCACACTTCAGCCTACTAAGCTGCTATGTTTTAACAGTGTTTTCTTTCTAAAATATTTTATGAGCTGTAACAGACTGATTTTGGTGAATTGTATTTGGAGTGAAACGTGTGTTAGATTTGAATACCTGGCCATCGGAAGTGAATGCGAGAGCGATCAATCACTGTATTGTGCATGCTTTTTGGAGATGGCTCACTGACTGAAGGGGTGAATGTAGGGCTATATAATCGGGGTAAATGAGATGTCGAGAGGCCGCCTACACGAATGCAAGGGGAAGCTATTCTTCTTCTTCTTCTTCGTTCTTAATTATTAGTGTTGGAGGGGATTGAGATTTATCTGCCAGTGGTTTGAACTCGAGACTGTTCGAATGTATCAACCATGAGCTTTTTGCCGACTCGAACACGCCTCCAACACAATTAAGCGTTACGTGTCAACTGGTTTTGCGCCATTGAGGCCATTGACTCCGATTTCAGCCTGCTTTTCTTTTTGGATTTGCTTCCATAGCCTTTGTCCAACCAAGAACAAACTACAAGGCAGCAGTTGTTTAATTTTGGAGTTGTCTCTCCTAGAAGAGTGGCTGTCCCCAGCTGA